CTCACTGAGTGGTGAGCCTTTAGGATCAACAGGAAATTAAATCATCCTCCAGGTTGTGCCATAATGCTTTTCCTATGAATGCATGGTTTGTATATGCATACGTTTCCTAATGAACACAATAGCTTTTCCACTGAATGTAAGTCCAGAACCTAACTGATGGAAAGTGATATAGCTCTGTAGGGAGGCATCTGTTTCCACCAGCTGAAGAGCCTATAGAGTTTACTTCTGAAGTATTATCACTGTTTATTTCTAATGAACAAATTCACCATAATTCCAGGAGGATTCAAAATAAAGAAAAAGGATTGGTGTATCTTACTGGCTTCCATGCTGGATTTACTTTCTAACAAAGAATCCAGTCCATCAAAGTTATTTTGCAGCCTGTTGTTAATACAGTGAATCTTTTTCTCTCTCTGATGAAGTTTCTTTATAAGGTCAGCTATGGCAGACAGGATTTCCTTCTCATTCTCCACAAATTCCTATATGAGACAAAGTGGAAAAATCATTTTCTTGTAAAGAAAAAGAGCACACAAAACAATAGGACTCTTCATAGACTGTGCGAACACCACTGTGTGGCTCTGCTGGGTTGGTAGACCCACTCGTGAGATCCAGAGCCAGCACGTATGCAGATTTTTCATGAGCTGCTCACTACTGGTTCACTTTTAAAGACATTTAAAGAAAGATGATAACCTTTGGGTATTTTTGAACCTAGGATGAGGAAAATGGAATCAGAACCCACATTGAGCAAAGAAACTTGCAATCACTGTTTTATCCAGAGTTAGAAAATTCAAATTTTTCTGCATTTTACACTGTGGCAGACCAGATGCTTTTTGACTATTGGAACAATAGTATTTACAGAACCAAATATTTTATGATTCTTTATGCACGATAGCCAAATTATTTTCAGTGCTAAAAGTACCTTGTCAAACAATGTTGAAACCCACCTTTTGAATGCAACTGTCCTCTGTCCATCCCTCCAGAAGAAGCTCTAAAATAAATTCAGCAATTTTAAAATGTTAGCTGACTGTTGGAGAAACATATACATTCTAAAACAGTCTTTATTTTAAAATACTGAGAATATGGTAGTTTGGTTTTAAATAGCTGAACATTTCCTTTGATGACATGTTACTCACGATGAAGGACCGTCAGATCACTTAGAATTTTTACTGTTGTTGATTTGTAGGTTTGGGCTTCATGGCTCATTGTCAAAATATCAGCTTTCATCTGTGCATTGCACTGTGGAGAAAATCATTGCAGCTAGGTAAATATTTGTGTTTGGTCTTTCCTTTCTGATCTCTTTAGCGATTTTTGTGATCTACATGTGTATTCCCCAGGACAAAACTTGCCATCGTTGTGCTTTTCTTCGACATCAGGCATCCATTTCATTTTCCTACACAACCACAATGATAATCAAAATACATAAAATCTCAGGATCAAATTCTCAGCTCTAAACTAGGCAATCAATTCAGCTGTGCTGATACACCACCTGAGAATCTGACACTCACTCTTCACTCGAAATTTAGTTTCTATTTAGAATCAGAGAACACTAGAACTGGAAGGGACCTTGAAAGGTCATCAAGTCCAGCCCCCTGCCCTCATGGCAGGACCAAGCACTATTTAGATCATTCCTGATAGATGTTTGTCCAACCTGCTCTTAAATATCTCCAGTGATTGAGATTCCAAAACCTCCCTAGTAAATATGTCTCTTTACTATATCAAACTGTCCCAAGGCATAGTGAAGTGCAAAAGCAGGTTCCAAATTAGTACCTTTGTTGTACTTTAGGTATCAATAGCTCTGGCTTTGGGAGTTGAACCTGATTTTCTTTCTGTAATTCCTTTGCTACATCATCAACAGAAGAGGACACAGAGCAACCAGCATTTGGGTGTCAGAATGAACAGAGCATCCTGAAATCATTCCTATACTGAGCATCAAGGGGAGAGATATCTACTGTGGAAAAGGGGCTTATATCAGGAAAAATAAATTATAAGGTCACATTTTCAAAGCACCTCCTAAGAAGCATCTGTAATATTAGTGCATGCAAATTCAGGCAACTGCACTTGTAAAAGCAGGCTTCTTCGCATTCAAACGGGTACATGCAGATACTACACCCAATTCAGCAATTCAGCTCCTTATGTCTAATAAAGCTGTAGTTTCAGCTTTGAGTTGTACCTTGATATAGCCCAATAAACAAGACTTTGCTGTCACAATAGTTTATTGTGCTCAGATCTCTTCTGGAGAAGGAGAGCTTTTGCTCTTGTAGGCTAGTTTGGCACACAGCACAGGACCTAACAATGGAAGATTTAGGACAAATTTTCCCAAAATATCTAAGCCTCAGGAGCCTAAGTCCCATTTTCAGAAATGATTCAGGCACTTACAAGCCTAAATCTACTGACTTGCAATGAAAACGGGGCTCTTCAATACCTAAAGCTATGTCTAGAGGTGGAAGACGTAAATACTAGCTTGAGGAAACGCAAGTCACACTGTGATCGAGCTAGTGTACTAAAAACAGAAGCGTAGCTATGGCAAGTATAATCCCATCTGAGACCGTTGGTAGGCATGCGGAATGGCTCGCTCCTCCCATTGCTTGCACCACAGCAGCTACCCAGCTATTTTAGTGCGCCAGTGTGATTAGAGCTAGTGCAGCAAGTCTCCTCAAGCTAGAATTCACAGCTCCAATTCAAAGTCGCTTCTAAAACGGAGTGAGGCACTTATGAAAACTTCTCCAAACCCTGAAAAACAATAAAGCAGCAACATATGCTCAGCCAAGACAGAAACGAGAATCACGGCATCACCAGAGTCCAGGGCTAGACCCATCAGGGAGAATATAGTCATTGTAAGGAAAAACACTGGGAAAGTTGAACATCAGCAAGGCAGCAAGAATTTCTGTACAGCAGTCAAAACAAGTCAGCTTTCCTGTGACATCTGTTGTTGAGTGGCTGTGGAGAGAGACACTGTTAATCTTCTCTGGGCAGTAACCACAATGAACCACAGTGTTTCTCTCCTCTCATCGCAAAAGTGGTTCATTCTAAGGGGAGTGGGGCTAGCCCACCATCTAGTTTCAATTTGAGATCGTTTCCTATTACTTTGGGCACTATTGTTCCGGTCATAAACACTGCTCCAGAATTAAAGAATGAACTAAAATTGCTGTGTAAGTCAACAGGGAGGAATGTGGGACTGTCTGCCTTGCTGCAATACTAAACAGCGCAGGCCTCTTTTATGCCTCAGTTTTCACCCAGTCTTTCACAGCTAGCAGGGACACCTTTCCCCCATATACCTGACCAGTTGCACCAGAGTGCTTTTCTACACAGTGATGAAAGATCACAGACAAAATGCCAAAGGGATAAATCCTGCCCTTTGGTATTCCCACATGTCCCCCACTGAAGCTACCAGGAACCCCATAGATGCATTGGAAGGCAAAATTTGTCTCCTATTTTGTATGCTGGAGCATTTACAGAGTTTATTCGGTTTCATCGTGCTCCAATTCCATTTTATACCGTGCAAAGACAATGGAAGAGACTCTTGCATGTTGACAAGCTGTGCTGTAAACATTAGTCTACTCACTAATTTCAGTCTGCTGTTTTCTGAGTTCAAAATGTCAAGCTTCCTGTCAACCTCATAGATGTCCCTCTCCAGCAACTTCAGCATTTCCGTATGATCGCTCAACTGCTCATATGCCAACTCACGCTTTTGTTTTAATTCATTCTTCAGATCAGCCTATGAATTAACAAACCCTTCATTATTTTCTTTCATTGTATCTGATCTTGTATTTGGACTATAATTGTTGTAACCTAATAAATTAATAATAATTCTTTTCACACCTGTGGCACCTTTTGCTGAAAGATTTCAAAGGGCTTTAAAAAATGAATCTCATCTCCATCTGACACCTTGGGAAAAGCACAGCTGTGTGAAGTGGAATTGGTCAAGGGCAACAAGCAAGTGGCAGAGCTGGGAATAGAACCTAGATCTCCTGATCCATAGACTAACCACTGAACCTAATTTCCTGTATATTTAAAATCAGACAGAAGGTCACATAGCTTAGTGACCCTCTCCATATTTCTGTTGATGAAGGTTTTGATGGTACACAAATGTTTTTGATGGTACACAAATGTTTTGCATACACTTTCTGGATAAGCTACTGCCTATTTAAATATGCTTGGAGAAGGAGCTCTTCCTTCTCAAATAAGGATAGCATCTGTGTCTGTGGGGCTTTTGTGGGCCAGCAGCCACAGTGCTCCATGCTGCAGTATCAGGACACCCACGCACAAATCTTGCAGTTTTGTATGCGACTCACACTTTTCTTTAGTACCGTGTCTTTCACACAAACCATCTGTGACTCTGAATCTCTCCTTATGCTGTTATCTGTCGATATGATCAAGATATGCAATGAGTGGGAGAGATCGGGTGACAAAGACACAGGAAGGTTTTATAGAGAAGCAGGAAAGGTTCTTGCACCAGTTGTGATCAGCTTGTGTATAGGGACAGCGTTCACATGGGGTCCAATACTGCAACCTCTTCCTCATTGAAGAAATCCTTTTAATTCTATTGGGACAGCTCATGTGACTAACGATTATAAGATCAAGATCAGTATTTTTGCATGACAAATGACAATGTGTCTCTTCTAGCAAACCTCTTCTAGCCAGAATTGGTGTGCATGACAGGCTACTGAGAGATTGTACTGGAAGGGCAGAGGGAAAGCCTTGACAGGCACAAGAACAGAAAAAAAAAGAAAACTAATTTATAAAACTTTACAAATAGCATTAAAGCAAGGTCTGAACATTACCATAATCTTCTTTAGTTTACCAGTCATCTTGACCGACTGTTCAATGGATTTTATCAGTCTTGTCTCTTCATCTTTTAGTTCTATAAATCAGGAAAAGGGGTTTTAGACAATGGAATGGTCTATCAACAATTGATCAGTCATATAGGGACATTATTATTCATTATTTATGTACCAATACGTCCAGATATTATAATCCAGCTGCTGTATGAAGCCCTCAGAGCTTCACTGAACTTTACAGTTCATCTGAACTATGGTAGACAGCTCTGGTACAGTCAGGCCTCTCCTTATTTATTTTATTTTTTTCTAAATACAACAAATACATCAAAATACCAGATTCACCATCACACATGACTTAAGTAAAGATGGGGAGAAGAGACAAATCTAAGCTCAGAATCTATTTTCTTCTTAGATCTCTACAAAGTCAACTCAAATTCTTTGATTTTTTCAGGCATTCCCTTTCTAATGAGCCAATCACTCATTAGCTTTGAGGTCACCCATCTCACCAAGTCAGAGCTCTTTCTAAGACAGAAGCGGAAAGTTTCACAATATATTAGAATTACTTAATATTTACCTGAGACAATTTTTTTCAACTCTTCATATTTTTCATGCTTCTCTTCTAATTCTTTACGTTTTTCTTCTATGAGAGGGAGGCTCAGCAGTAGTTGTTGTTCTTTTTGATATATTTCATCAGTCGTACCTTTGACATCATCCTTTAGTGAAAATAAATGTTAACGATCCATTAAACTGGGCTTGGGCTGTGTAATCATGGTAGCAGAGGAAAATTAAACGAATAGATTAACTGGAAATGACAGAGCTCAGAGACACAAACTTGATAGTTAAGAGTGGCAATTTGAATATCCAGAGTGAGGAGACAACCCAAGTAATTCTTTTGACATTACACATCATAAATCTCTAGCCTTATTACAAAATTATTGAACTAGAAGCAGTGGGGGAGGTCTAGGTTGGATATTACGAAAACCTATTTCACTGGGAGAGTGGTGAAGCACTGGGATGGGTTACCTAGGGAGGTGGTGGACTTTCCATCGCTAGATGTTTTTAAGTCTCAGCTTGACAAAGCCCTGGCTGGGTTGATTTAGTTGGGATTGGTCCTGCCTTGGGCAGGGGGCTGGACTTGATGACCTTCTGAGGTCTCTTTCAGCCCTATGAGTCTATGAATTCCGGCAATACTCATATTGACACTGAATGCACTCTGTACTCGGGATGTTCAGAGCGCTGCAATACAATAGCCAGCAGATAGTGCCACAGGTGTTCACATTGTGTTGCAAACAAATAAGACTGTAATAAAATAAATAAGTGAGCAGAAACTGCAGCAAGTATGACTGGGGTGTGCACAACAGTAGAAGGGTATAAAAGAGTAAAAGCCTTGGGAAGAAGTACAAATTGATATAACATAAAAACGATAAAAAGTGAAGACACAGGAAGAAAGAGACAAAGAAGAGAAAAAACAGAGGGCCCACCTGAGGAGAAATAATAATTATAATTATTTTTCTACCCCAAAAGGTATGCCATTATCCTTGACTTGATTCAGTCATTAGAGTAGGAGTAAAAAAGCATTTACTATATGTTATGTATGTTTCTGAACAGCATAGCTGCTAGGAAGTGCACATAAGAGATCCAATTATTTTAGATCCATACATATGGAGGCATTGAAAGAGAGGGAGAAGAGGCTTGGGATTTTCATACATTAAAAATTTCTGATTTATCCTATTCTGGACCATCAGACGGATGGCTGAGAATCACAGAGCTAGGAAAGGTTACCAAGAGGCAGAGGAAATACACGTCAGATGGGAGAAATGCCTATTGTTACTTGAAATACCAGTCAGTTCTTGTTCACTGTCTCACACTGTCCTCCTTTCTCTTTGAAGGAGGGTGACTGGATGGCATAGTAGAGCACTCAGAGGACAAGCACACATCAGACCAAACTGCCCTGCATTCCCCCTCATACACCACCACTCATTTCAATGGATTTACAGCTCTATTACAGAGCAGAATTTGGCCCAACATATGGGCAGCGAGAATAATATTTTCATAGAGCCGGTGCTGTTTATCTAAATATAGTGGGACAAATTTCATACTGACAAATGCCAAACAATTGCTTCAAAGCTAATGGGGCTGCATACCATGAAATAATTTGGTCCTATATATTTTATTTTACTTCTTATTGCAGATTTGACATTTTATGGGTACATTCTCTGTATAGAATTCAAACTTGATAGCTATGAACACACACATGTGGATGGCAAGCCCATGCCACAATCCCAAGCAGAATGAGTTGTACAGTCAACTTCCTGTACTAGATGACATATCAACCACAAAACTCGGACTGATGCTTTTGTGGTTGGTTTGTCTGGAAGACTAGTGAGCAGAACATACTTCTTTTTATTTCTCATTTAGTTCTCATCTAGCAGTTCAGAGAACTGACGGGATAAAGGCAATTTCAACCAAACAATAATCTGACCTCTTTGCCTTTGGCATCTAGCAATCAAGTAACTGTTAGAACTCTTCCTGCATAGAATCCACTACTTCATTTCTCTTACTTACAATGCACACAAAGCCAGTTGCAAAGGAAAACTTTATCCACTGCTAGTAAGTGCTAACGGCCTGAGTCAAAGCCCAGAGAAATCAGTGGGCTTTGGGTCAGTCACAACTGCTTAGCAAAACAAACAAACAAAAAATCCAATCAGAACTCTCCTGTTCTAGGAGCATCAGCACAACATTCAAAGAACTAAGATGACACTGAATCACTTTTTCCAGAAACTGTTAGGAATCCTGGGCCAAATTATTTGCTGGGATCAATTGGTATAGGACCGATGAAATCAACAGTGATATCAATTTATGTCAACAAAGAAATTTTTCCGATTTCAGCTACTATTTTTAAGAATGTTTTAAAAATGACACTTACCTCAAACCATTGCATGTCTTCTGATAAAATATTTTCATACTGTTCGCATTCAGTTTTTGTTTTATTTATATTATCACAAAGGTGTTTGACCCTTTCTTCAGCCTGCAAAATTTCTTTTTGGAAATACTCATTCTGGTTGCGGAAATCAAAAAAAAAAAATAAGAGGGGCAATCATTTTTGCAGCATACACTGGCAATATTAAACAAAAACCAGGCTGAGTAAAATGGGTGCAGCTGTCATTTGAAATACAGTCCTGTGATAACTGCTTTACAGTTTTATTAATGATCTGTTGAGGCCGGATTCTCAGCTAGCGTAAATTGACAATGCACCTTTAAAATCATACTATACACTAGCTGAGGATTTGTCCTTTAAAGTTTAACTATTTTGCCAAGAACAATGTGAAAGATAGGGGATCACAGTGAATAGGCTTTGTTATAATGCCAACTGATTAATGTACCTCTATAGTTAGCTCAGCATATCGTTTTTTACCAATCTCAAATCTTGCATTCATTTCATTCAAGAATTTCTCCTCTGTTGAGCACAAGAGTTCTTTCTTCTTTGCTAGGTGAAGTTGTTTCCACTGGAGCAAAGCTCTGATGGTAAGTACACAAATAAATGACAGTACATGACATTGTGTTAACAATGAACTTGATGAAGTGGGTTTTACCCATGAAAGCTCTTGCCCTAAATACATTTGGTAATCTTTAAGCTGCCACAGGACTGCTGGTTGTTTTTACAGTTAGGCTATGTCTAGACTGCAAACCTCTTTCGAAAGAGGCTTTTTCGAAAGATACTTTCGAAAAAGCCTCTTTTGAAAAAGAGCGTCTAGACTGCAAGCGGAACTTTCGAAAAAGCAAGCCGCTTTTTCGAAAGAGAGCACCTAGGCAGTCTGGATGCTCTCTTTCGAAAAACCCCTGTTTGCATTCAAGAACGCCTTTTTTCAAAAGAGCACTTTCGAAAAAAGGCGTTCTTCCTCGTGAAATTAGGTTTAGCGCCGTCGAAAGAAAAGCCGCGTTCTTTCAATTTAATTTCGAAAGAACGCGGCTGCAGTCTAGACGCAGGTGAAGTTTTTTCAAAAAAAGGTTACTTTTTTCGAAAACTGTGAGTCTGGACACAGCCTTACAAACTAACACTATGACACTGTAGTGTAATTGAATGGAAAATTAGAGCTGCATAGCATGTGTAAAATAACAAAGCAGATAGTGAGCTTGATTTGAAGTTGGTGATTCTCCAGCTTGTAATCACCAATTTCAAGGCCAAAAGAGACCACTGTGATCAACTAGTCTGACCTCCTGCATAACACAGGCCATAGAGTTTCCCTCAAATAATTCCTAGAGCACACTTACAAAGACTGTGACTTGTAATTTTACCTCATCTCACTTTCTCTCTTTAAACACTGTTCTAGAGTCTCTAGTTCTCTTGCATAGGCTTCCTTAGTATTTCTGAAACAAGAATAAAGGTTCAGAGTAAGGCTAGCTTTTGCACATCACTTCATTTTAAGTCAATTTTTGAATACGCAATTTTAAAAAGTTCTTTCCAAAGCAGCAAACTAAACATTCCAGCCAGCTGGGGACTCACTTCTCAAAAATATACCTATTATGGTGTGTAGTCAAGTGCTTCATATGGTTTGTTGTCTCTCAGGTAAGAGACACGATTGCAAAGATAAACAAGCACTTGGTAGAGGTTATGGCAAAGCCAAGAGTCCTGACTTATGCCAGAACCAACAGCACTGCAAGAGAAGGCATCCTATTAATGAAGCCCAAAACACTTGGGCAAAAGTTTAAGAACGGAACTGTTACATTTGTATGATATAGGTGCTGTAACTAATACAGAAAACCCTGCACAGAGGTGGAGCCTCAAGGCAGATGGATGCACACATTCATTTGCTCACATTGCATATATGTGCTAATGTAGAAGTTCCAAGGCTTGCAACAATATTTTGTGGACTCAACACGTTTGAGAGGGTTTTAGTTTAATACAATAAGATGACTGGTAGTTGGCAGCAGATGTAATTCTGCTCCCATGCTGGCTGGGTTTTCAAGAGACACTATGACCAGCAACTCACTCTCTTTTGAGATCCAAGATGGAGGAGGAGAAATTGGCCACCTAACCCCTTACGCTGAAGACTTGGCAGTAGGTGGTATCAGACTTTCTCCCAAGGGCAACCCTCAGGCTGCCCGTGAAGACTTCAAATGTACAAGCTGAACATGCCCCGATATCCTGGCCATGTCTGGTTAATATTAGGCTTTTTCCTATTCAGAAATGTATAACATTCTGTTTGCTCTGCTCTCATCAGCAGATTTTTTCCCCGGGATGTTTAGAACTGTTCTCTGAAAGAACCCTTATAGACAACAGTATCGTGTACAGATGACTATTAAAAAAAACAAGCCAAAAGGAACACTTTGCAGAGACAGAGAAGGGATTCTGATTCTGAGGATGCGCCATACTTTTTAAAGAAGGTGCTAATTAACCCTAATTAACCCTTGAAACTTGGGTTCTGATTTTGATCAGTTTGTAATGTTGTGGAGATAAAATAATTAAGTAATATAAATCTCTTTTACCCTTCTCCTCCTTTGTGTGTATGTTTGTAAATGATCCTGTGTAATATATATGTCTATGGAATTGCTAATAACAACACACTATGCAGTAGTTTTCATAGCAGATCTCAAAGTGCTTTACAAAGGAGATCAATATCATTACTCCCATTTTACAGATGAGAAAACTAAGGCAAAGGTAGATGCAGTGGCCTGCTCAGGGTCAGCCAGCATTGCAGGGTTTAGAACAGAATCCAGGGGTATTGAACCCCTGTGCAGTGATCCACCCATTGCACCACGCTGCTTCCTGGTAACACTGCACATAACATGGGCTGAATTTGAGAAATATTAAGTGCCAAGTAGGTCAGTGGGAATTCAGACTCTTACGGTAAAGTGTAAGGCATCAGAGATGGAAGAGACTTTCCAATCAGCTCTCTGAGGCTATGTCTACACTACACTGTTCTTCCAGAAAAAGCTACGCAAATTACAAACAGCTTTTTCCGCTTCTTTTTTCGGAAAAAGCTTTTCTGACATCTGGCCCGTCTACACTGGGCCAAATGTTGGAAAAAAAACAACCCTTTTTCGGAACATCCCATCTTCCAGGAAAAATGAGGTTTACAGGGATGCTGAAAAAGTGCATCTGCTGTTCCAAAAAGAATTTAGGAAGAGCAGACGTGTTCCCTGGATGCAGCAGAGTTTGTATCCCGGAAAAACTCTGTAGTGTAGACATAGCCTCAGTATAAAATTGTTCCTTAAGAAATGCTCCTACCGCTATGTCCAGGCCTGTTTTAAGTCTTAACCAACAAGGCTTCTCCCACTTTTGAAGGAGAGATTACCTGGCAGGGTGCGGTCCATTCTGAGCATTATTTCGGGTAACCCCAAAATACTGAGACAGTGATAATTAGTTCATCTCCTATTCTCGTTAATGTATTTCTCATATTTTTAAACTGCTGACTTTGCTGTGTGTCAAAATGAGATTTTTCTTTATACTGTCATCACATCAGGGTGGGGTTATTTCTTATCCAGTATTTCTCAATTTCATGTATACTCAGAAGGGCTATCGTGTTGGGTCAGTTCAAATTAAATATCAAGATAGACATCTGACTGTATCGACTGGGTTTTTTTCCTTCATCATCACAGAAAGTGAAAAGAAAAATTATTTTCCTACACTCTATTCACAACCAGGACACTGGCCTGTTAATGATGTGGCAGGGAATGCTCCTGAGGATTCAGGGGGATAACAGGAGGCAGAGAGAGGCCGGGGCACAGCTCTGCCAGAACCATGCTATCAAGAGGCAGGAAGATAGGCAAGGCACGCTTGCGCAGATACTCATTATTACAGCACATTACTCAGCCACTTCACACTGATTCAAGGATTAGGGCTCAAATATTCTGACTGCAACAGCAGCTGACCTCCAGGGATGCCAGGAGCCAGTAGAGGTATGTCTACACTGCAGCTGGGAGTGAGCCTCCCAACTTGGGTACCCAGACTTGTGCTAACAGAACTCAGGCTAGCACACAGATGAAAACTTTTTATTTTTCCCTGTGGCTGCTTGTAACAGGGCGGCACTCATCACTCACAAGCGCCCCCTCTGGCCAAGTGCATGTGCCTGCACACTCTTGTATTCAAAAGCCTCTTCAGCAACTCAGCCCTCTGGCCAAATCACACACACTGTGTACAAATCAATCAAAACCCCTTTCTGGATATACATCTACCAAGTTCCATCTTTGTGCCCCCTGTATAATGTCTTGTTCTTCTCTGTGGGTACTTGAGTCCCAGAGCACCTATGGGAACAACACCTACAGGCAATTGTGCTAAAAATAGTAGTGTGGTTGTTGCAGTTTAGGCTGGAGCTCAGGGTCACAAATTTAAGGGGTCGGGTGTGCTTGAGAGCCAAAGTTGCACCATTCACGCTATTTTTAGCACTTTAGATGAGTTGCTCTAATTTGTACCAGCCAATAGCCCTTTGGAGCCTGTTGCTCTAATAGCCACAGATCACCAGAGTGCAGCAATGCTCTGCTAACACTTGCCCCAAACACATCCTCTATACCAGAGAGCAAGATGCAGGCTATCTCAAGTTTGCACAACCCAGGGGCAGCGCCACAGCAGGGGAAACCTCAGCTGCTCAGTCAGGGCAGCTTTACAGCCCGTTTGCCCCCACCAAAAAGGGGTTGTAGCCTAGACCAGGATCTGAGTCATCACACTTGTTTGATTTTGAAGTTATGCATTCAATATTATTTCTATAATATGTCTCTGAATCAGTGTCTTGTTCTTAATCTTCTTGTTTGTGTGTACTTTGCCAGGCAAAAATAAATTGTTATCAGTAACTAAACAATCAATACTTGTCTGTACGGTTTAGAAACTCATTTGGCTTTCTCTTTAAAGTACCTTTGAATGCTTAAGTTTTAAACTTTCCCAAATTCACATGGACCCATGAAGCTAAGTCATTAATACACTCAGTAGTGAAAAAGTGACATACAGAAAGACTTCGTCAAGTTTCTCAATTTCTTCCTCCAAATTTTGTTCCTCCAACACACGCTTTGCCAGAATGTCGAGTCTTTCATCCAGACATCTGTATAATCTTTCAAGTCTGCCAATAGAGAAAACAGAAGTGATTTTACTCTTCAAAAAAGAGAAGCTTCAGAAATAAAACTGCATTCTCTAAAAATCAGTACATAAGAACACAAGGACAGCCATACTGGGTCAGACTAGTGATCTATCTAGTACAGCATCCTGTCAGTGGCCAATGCCAGGTACTTCAGAGGCAATGAACAAAAAAAAAAAAAGGAAATTATCAAGTGATCCATTTCCTGTTGCTCATTCCCTGCTTCTGACAAACAGATGGTAGGGACAATTCAGAGAATGGTTTTGCAACCCTGTCCAATCTGGCTAATAGTCATTTGTGGACCGATCCTCTATGAACTTATCTAGTTCTTTTTGAACCCCTGTTATAGTCTTGGCCTTCACCACATCTTCTGGCAAAGAGTTCTATTGGTTGACTATGTATTATGTGAAGAAATACTTTCTTTTGTTTGTTTTAAACCTACTGCCTATTAATTTCATTTGGTGACCTCTAGTTCTTGTATTATGAATAGGAGTAAATAACACTTCCATATTTATCCTCTCCACATCAGATAAGATTTAATAGACCTCTATCATATTCACCCTTAGTCATCTCTTTGCTAAGTGAAAAAGTCCCAGCTTCATTAATCTCTCCTGATATGGAAGATGTGCCATACTCCTAATAATTTTTGTTGCCCTTTTCTGAACCTGTTCCTAATTCAATATATCTTTGAGAGGGGGCAATCAGATCTGCATGTAGTATTCAATATATGGGCATACTATAGATTTATATAGAGGCAATATGATATTTTCTGTCTTATTATGAACACTTTCTTAATGATTCCCTTCTGATAGTTGTTTTTTTTTGACTGCCACTGCACATTTAGCACATGATTTCAGAGAACTATCCACAATGACTCCAAGATCTCTTTCTTGAGTGGTAACAGCTAATTTAGACCCCATTAATTATATGCAGGGCTCGACAAATTATAGAATCTACTCGCCCGGGGTGAGTAGATTTCAGCCGCGGGCCCCATTTACTGGCGGCATGCGGATGCACAATGCGGCTCTTGCGCATGCGCAGTGTGGGGGTGGCGAGCGGCTTTCGCCACTGTTTGTCAAGCATATGTATAATTAAGTTTGTGTTTTCCAATGGGCATTACTTTACATTTTTCAACATTGAATTTCATCTGCCATTTTGTGGCCCAATCACCCAATTTCTGAGATCTCTTTGTAACTCTTGGCAGTCTGCTTTGAACTTAATTATCTCGAGTAGTTTTATATCACCTGCAAATTTTGCCACTTCACTGTTTACGCTTTTTCCAGATAATATGTTGAATAGGACTGGTCCCAGTACAGACCCTACGGGACACCACTATTTACCTCCCTCTAATAAACAGACCATTAATTCTTACCCAGTGTTTCCTATCTTTTAATCCACGAGAGGACTTTCCTCTTATCCCATGACAACTTACTTTGCTTAAGAGCCTTTGATGAAGGACTTTGTCAAAGGCTTTCTGAAAATCGAAGTACATTGTATCCACTAGATCACCTTTGTCCACATGTCTGTTAACCCCCTCAAAGAATTCTAGTAAATGTGTGTCATGATTTCGCTTTATAAAAACCATGCTGACTTTTCCACAACATATTATATCAATCTATGTGTCTGACAATTCTGTTCTTTACTAGAGTTTCAACCAATTTGTGTTGCAGTGAAGACAATTTTACCAGCCTGTAATTGCTGGGATCACCTTTGGAACATTAAAAAAAAATTGGCATCATATTAGCTATCCTCCAGTCATTTGATACCAAAGCTGATTTAAATGATAGGCTACAAACCACAGTTAGTAGTTCTACACTTTCCAATTTGTGTTCCTTCAGAACTCTTGGGTGAATGCCATCTGGTCCTGGCGACTTATTCCTGTTTAATTTATCAGTTTGTTCCAAAACCTTCTTTAATGACACCTCAACCTGAGACCGTTCTCAGATTTGTTATCTAAAAAGAGTGGTTCAAGTTTAGGACTCTCCCTCACACCTTTGGCTGTGGACTGATGCTAAGAATTTAGTTTCGCCACAATGGTCTTATCTTCCTTGTGTGTTCCTTTAGCATCTCAACCATCCAGTGGAGCAGGCTTCCTGCTTCTAATATACTTCATTTTTTGCTGTTCTTTAAATTCTTTTTTGGCCTTCATAATTATATTTTTATATTTCACTTGCCAGAATTAGCTTATATGCCTTTTCATTTTCCTCACTAGGATTTAACTTCCACTTTTTACTGGATGCTTTTTTGTGTCTCATTGCTTCTTTTACTTGTTTATCTACAGTGGCAATTTTTTTTGGTCCTCTATTTTTTTTTAAATGTTAGGTATTCATTTAAATTGAGCCTCTATTATGGGGTCTTTAAAAAGTTTCCATGTAGCTTGCTGGGATTTCACTTTTGGCACAGTACCTTTCAAATTCTATTAACTAACTTCATTTTTTAGTGGTTACCCTTTCTGAAATTAAATATGGCTGTGGTGGACTGCTTTGGTGTTCCTCCTGCACACAGATGTTAAATTTTATTATGTTATGGTCACTATACTGGTTCAGCTATAGTCATCTCTTGGACCAGAACCTGTGTTCTACTTAGTAACTACTACTAAGTAGGGGAGAGGGATAGCTCAGTGGTTTGAGCACTGTCCTGCTAAACCCAGGGTTGTGAGCTCAATCCTTGCGGAGGCTGATGTGGGGCAAAAATTTGTCAGGGATGGTACTTGGTCCTGCTGTGAAGGCAGGGGACTGGACTCGATGACCTTTCAAGGTCCCTTCCAGCTCTGGGAGATAGGCAATACCATTAATTGCTTTAGGTCGAACCTCCCAAATCCGGGACTCTCTGGTCCAGCAACATCCGTGGTCCAGCAGGGCCAGAGATGCCAGAGATGTTGCTGGACCAAAGATCTCCAGAGCAACACAGGGGCTGGGGAGCTCTGGCTGGTCCAGTTGGCATCTGGGGAGCCCCCACCCTGGCCCAGAATCTTCAGCATTAACAGGGCCAGACAGTAGCCTGGGAACACCAGACATCAGCTGAGGAGCTCCTGCCTGGGCCAGGGAGCCCTCAGCATTAGCTGGGCCATGTGGCCAGGGAATCCTGGGCTGCCTGCAACCAAGCAGCACTGGCCAGGAACCCCAAGAAACCACCTGGTGGCAGCAGGTCAAGGGTGACCAGGCAGCTTCTGTCGGGTACCACACCTCTGAAGTGAGGCCAGTGGAGGGCTGAAGTGAGGCCAGTGGAGGCGGCTGGCCGGAATCCCCAGCAGAAGCTGGGCGGTGCTAGCAATGGGGCAGGGTGGCCGGGCGGCTCTGGCTGGGGAACCCCCCAGTGGCAGCAGGGCCAGCGGCATCTGGGTAGCCCCAGCCGGGAACCCTGGAGAATATTCTGCAACAGCGGGACTGGCGGCAGCCCAGTGTCCCCGCTTGAGACCCCAAG